TCGAGACCTGGGCGGACTGGGAAATGGGTTTGGGGGTGTCGGGTGGGGACCGGGACTCCGGGGGAGAGGGGAGAGAATTGGATGGAGAAATGGGCGTCCAGGGAGAAACGAGGGAGTGGAGGCAAAGGTGGGCTAGGAGGAGAGAGGCGAAATGACGGAGACAGGATGCCAGGGGAAGGTAGGAAAACAGACGCAGGAAACTGGAGGACCTAGTTTTGGGGACAGGGAGGGAAAGGCACTGAGCGTGGACACGGGTGGGAACCAGCCGACCCAGCCTCACGGAGTGGGAGGGGAAGACGGGGACGGGGGTTGTTCAAGTGTTAGGAAGGGAAAGCCTTTTGTTCCTATATGTGTGTGTGTTCTGTGCGTCTTCTTTCAAGGCAGGAGAATGGAGAAGCAAGTGGTTATGCTGTTACGGTGGTTGTGAAACCGGGAGGCGTGGGCTTTGCCATTTTGAGGGAGAAGTGTTAGTGTTATGGTAGCGAGACGGGGAGAGACATGGCCACAATTTGATGGTCTTCGTGAGGGAGTGGAGACTCCTCAGATTTAAAGGGGGCAGGGGCAGCCATGTTTGCTGCCAGGCACTGCAGTGTAAATAAATTCCTTCTCTCCGACAGCAGAATGAGTCTGGAAGGGGCCATTTCAGATGGTTAACCCCCTTTCTTTCTATTCATGAACTCTTCGCTTCCATCTTGAGGTCATTTAAAATTATTCTTAACCACCAAAAGGAGGTAGTGATGTTTTCCATCTTGTATGTTTTGCTGCCCCTACCTCCACCCACCCCCCCTTCCCTCTTTCCTCTTCCTTCTGGTTGCAAACTAGACATACTAATGAACCGCAGTGTAAAATTTAACCCTTTTTATAAAGTTAGGACTGTATATTTTCTAGCTTGAAGGAATCATTGCTACTCTCTTATTTCAAACATGACCATGAAAGATCTTTTAAATATTCATTGGTTTCAGAGGCCTCGGAAGCAGTCAACATGTTTTCTGCAATTCTTTAAGTAAACAAGGAAATTGCATCGGTTATTTGACTTGGACTTGGGCTCTTGGCAAAGCATTGTGTGGGGGTGAGAAGGGATAGGAAGATCTGTTTGTCGTAGATTATCTGCTTGCTGTATTTTGAATATTAGAAAATGTGTGTAGAATTTTAAAATGTGTGTTTCTGATAGCTCTTACTTATAGGTTAAGAAGCATTTTCTTTTTTTATAAACGCTGTAACAACTGAAAGCTTCACTTTCATGTAGCTAGCTT